TCTCAATCCCTTCTCTTTGTTTCTCATGTTTATCTGATCCTGAGCTCCTTTTTTTTCTTTAACACTGAATTTTGATGTATTTTTGATTGAGCAATTGAAATTGATTGAACAATTTCGCAATCGGGATCAACATGACGCACCACTGCAAGACATCAAACATCAATAGCAATCCTGAGTCTGGATAATTAAAGTCGACAACGATATATAAAATCAATCATCACAGTGTTCTGTATCAAAACTACATCAAAATTCAGTGTTAAAGAAAAAAGGAGCTCAGGATCAGATAAACATGAGAAACAAAGAGGTGGGATTGACACAAATCTCGTAGCTGTACCGGCGTAGAATGACGTGTGGTACGTACGTTCACTGCGGGGTTACAATTTATGGGCGTTACGGTGCTCTGGCAGTAAGACTGAATTTAGCTTCTTGTATTTGTAACTGAATTCACACTCGTTACTCAAAGGCAAAACCGCGACCCAACGACGGTGGGTAATGAAGTACAAGTTCGAATGACAAAGTGCTGGGTAACCACCTAGTGGAGAACAAAGCATAAAAGACCATTCGAAATGCCCTATAGGAGACTCCATGCCGAGAGCAACTTTTACGTACATACAGTGAAGGCGTGCTTATACTAATCTTCCACTCGTCGTTATCATACGATATCAGCTCTTTTATCTTATCACCTCACTCTCACCATTCGGAATGGAGAGAGATAGCAGAAGGGTTACTGGTTAATATCCAGCAACCACTTTGGGTCGGCATAGGGTAAGGGGTGCTCATGAGCCTAGCTGTTTAGCCTCCATCGGAATTCTTGCGCACATTCTTTTCTTGGGAGCACAGCCTCCGCAGCTGCTCAAGAGATCACATGACATATTTGAGAGGTTATATCCTTGGTTTATCGCGGAACACGCCTTTCAGGTTATGAAAATTCCAGTTCGAACTTGAGAACGCGACTGCAAACAGAGTTTTCAACCATAAGCCAGAACTTTTATTTTATCTTCTTATCTAAGAAAAGTAACAACTTTAGCCGCTTAATTTCATTCTATCTAATTATTTCTGCTTCGATCACTTTTATAATGAACTGCCTAAAATTCCTTGGTCGTGGACTTTTCTTTGGGAAGAGTCGTCTGAATGGCTGCGATTTCATCGTCCCAAGCTTTCTCGATCTTTGTCCAGTGACTGAGCAATTCCTGCAAAGTGTTTGAGTAGACAGCGGCATCTCACTTTTATGAATTGACGGAGTATTAAACATTAACACCGAACGTGCTGACCAAGAAAACAATAAATATCATTCAAAGCTGTCGCAACCAGAACGATAAGTCGAATCCAGAAGACGCAGCGAACCAGGACTCGACACTGGACCTCGCGCTTCTCACTTTGGGCATGAGGTCCAGTTTCGAGTCTTAGCTGAAGTCAAAGCCCATACATCAGTATTATTGTGATAACCTTCCCACGAAACTTAGTTAATATTACAAAGTATGTGTCGGAATAGGAATAAATCCACAATACAATATTGAGCAAAGCCTTGACATTACATGAGCGAATGAAAACATTTTCTTTTCAACATACCTGTTTTCTCTGCTCACGTTTATTGAAGTAATATGGGAACTGCTCGCGCTCAGGAAGTGTCCAATGGTCAGAGTCCAAGATCTTAACGAAGCAAACGACAGTTAGCCCATACTCATAACGTGATCAAAAAACGGTGAAAAATAAGTTCATGATGTGTCATGTCAGAGGTACATAGCCATTTCAATATTTAGAAAGGACGGCTTCTCAGCTGCCAAATTGCGTTACACAGTTCCACTCAGACGCTAGAGTTATTCCAAAGTCAGGCAAACAACAAAAACATGGGAATAGGCCGATGTACATCCACACGTATGCGCACAGATTCATATGCAAGACACAGGAAAAAAATAAAATGAGAAATATATCATAAGTTAGCATACCACATCAGGCGATTCGCGTTCGCGATCGTAGCTACTGCCTCCCGGATCCAACGGGTCTAAAAATAAAAACTGATATATGGTTTAAGACCCTTTACTCTAGAGAGAAAGGCTGTTTAGATGATGTTTACCAGAACCGCAACTCCCCCCTCACCCAGTAATTATTGAGCAGAATCTGCAACTAAGTCCGCATTCTGAGAACGCAACCAGAAAATAACGCTCAAAAAATGTGCAATCGTTATTATGCACTTGCTAGCCCATCAAATGTACAGATAACGCTATGCTGTTATTCGGACATTCATGAACCCTAATAAACACAAAAAAAACAGTAAAAACATAATCGCCGTACATCGGAAGGGTTTGAAGTGACGTTTTTCCCACAGTTGCCGGCATCCATCAGCGAGAAGATACTGGCTCTTGCGAGTGTCTTTTTCGTCCTTGTTTGCATCGAATCTAGCTCGCATGATCACTTTTTGGTAACGCACTTCCAAGCTAATAAAAAAATGTTAAAGGGAGAGATGACATGTCGAAACTAATATAAGGAAAAAAAACTGGTACCGAAAAATGTTAGAGCTGGTCTTAACCCCATTTCATAAATCACAATATTGACCCCATCAATTCCTGCTGTATTATTAGGCCATCTCATTCAAAAATATGAAGACAAATGGAGCTGGCGGCGAAACAGAGGGGCTAAGGGTCTCTGTACTGTTTGAAGATAGTACCTTAGACTACGTATGTGCAAACCTTCAGTCGACATGACCACACCACGGAAAAAAGTCAAGAAAGTGGAAAGAAACCTAAGTGGTCAAAATCAGATTTTCAAATCGAGCTTTATAAAAGGGAAAAGCGCTGCTCAAAGTAATCCTGTGCTACAGCATAAGAAGTACTGCGTAGAGTGGTGTTTTCGAGACGTAACGGAATGTGGAAGACTTCAGAAGACCAAAGAAGGGAGAACGAAAAAAGTTGTGGCTGAGGAGGGCCCGAACAATGTTCATGGTCACAAGAATAAGGGGTGAGTGGAGTCAACGTCGAAAAGCTGGCCACATAGGCTGGACCTCTGTTGAGAATCCTGCGAGACTGACATTCTGCAACCAGCTGAAAGAGTCACGCCGGGAAAAGCGGAGATGGTCCAGAAAGAAGGGGGCGCTGTTTGGCGACGGGGGGGGGCATTTTGCACTTTAACGACTTCCCATCGACGTGTCGACCCATCTAGACAGCCTCTTCTCGAGTTGACAGGTTTTACCATGATGGCTTGACGAGCTTGCTCCAGCTTCACAAGAGTTCACAGGTTTCACCAGAGTGAGACTTGTAAACCAGAACTAGTGAAGCAACGAAAGTGCAAAATGCCCCCCCCCATCGGCGGGGAAGGTGTTTGGGTGCCTGATTTCCTTGTAGAAGCACAAAGTCTGAATTGGTTCGATGCCTGAGCAACAAAGTTCTCCACATAGGACTTCATTCAGACTGTGAAAAGACACAGTGGCGCAAGAGGGCCGCCACTGTTCGCCACATTGCCAGGCTCTTTTTGATTATTAGGCAGTGATCTGACAGTAACAATACTGAAACCCGAGTTCAGTTGCCTTATTCGCCCGACCTACGGCCGTGCGAACAGCGCCTGCAGCCAGCGCATTTGAAATAGAAAAAAAACGAGGAAATCCAACAACCGAAATCATTTACCTGGGAGACGGTCAAGACTCCTCTCCCTATGGACGAGATAAACCCCTTTGAAGAGGATCCCAACTTACAAGCCCTGGTTCCGCGTGGCAAACTTCATTAGCAACAGATATCCTGGCACATTGAGTTAACACCACCCTCAATATTCTGAAATCAGATGGGGTTTTTAGTGACTTTTTCTACGAGGGCGGATTTGGCTGAAGATGCATTTCCAGGGCTAGTTCGCACCTCCTGAACACGACCTCGCATCCGCTCATGCTGAAAGTGCCGGCGCCCACGCCAAAATTCTCTAAGCACCGCATTTGCTGGAAACTTGTCCCAAATGCAACTTCGACCTCCTGAACACGAAGAAAACATCCGCCTGGCGCCCGCTTCGGTCAGATCACCAAATCGATAGAAACTTGTATACGGGGAATCTTTGGCATTCTGATCAGGCACTGTTCACAGTCTTGCGAAACGGCGGTTCGGCGAAAAGCAAAAAATACTTATTGATCGGAGAATCGCCAACCGCCCCGTTCGACGAACCGCCGCGGTTCAGCGGTTGGGCGAAAAGCAATAGATACGTATCGATTTCGCAGGCTCCGCCCTAGAGAAAAACGCCAGGTCGGCCTAGCGTTTTTCGCCCAACCGCTTCGCCGAACCGCCCGTCGATACGTATCAAAACCGTTTCGCGCAACCGCCAGACTCTTCGCCCAACCGCCAATCGATACGTATCGAAAGCTTTTCGCCGAAGCGTTTCTTTCTAGAGAAACGCTGGGCCGCAGACTGTGAACAATGCCTTGTGGAGATGACATTCATTCGTGGCGCCGACGCTAATGGAGGACACTGCCATCGTTTTGTTAAAGCTGAGCCTGGCCTGAATTGAATCACTTCCTCTCTAGGGCTCAGTCTTAGCACAGCGCTGAATCAGAAAACGAAAGCCATATTCGTGATCGCGACATCAAATAACCCCATTATGCAAATGTTCATAGATTTTGATGAGAAAGGGAGTGGCGGGAAATAGTGCCCAGTGGCACCATGCGGCGACAGGGCTAAAAAGTATCGTCAATGTCTTCTGTGGCGCGATCAATGCATCGAATAACCCGTAAAGGCTAAGTCACGGCAGAATTTTTTCTGAGCTTCTGCGGGTGGTAGTAGTAGTTGAATACTGCCGATATCCTCAATCCACATGACCTGTTAATTCACTAAAAAGTGTTCTCCCTTCGCGCTCCTGGGAATGAATGCTCCTTTGTAAAGTGACAATGGTGACAAATCAATAATGCTGCAGTATTGAGCACATAGGCTCTGCGAATGCAATATAAAGTTTCAAGTCTGGATGTGACCGAAAGATCAGAACTCACCAGTCGCCTGGGCGCGTACCAATTGTCAATCTCTCGAAGAGCTTTCTTGTAAAGACGACACACTTTCTGGCGGTGTGATAAAGCCTTTGTAAACATCCATGCCGGAGACTCCATTGTCCCAAGCCGGTATAATCACCTTGCCCAATAGAGGAATAAATAACCTATTAAGAAAAAGAAACCAGCAAGAATGCGAAACGTGTCGTGTTAAGGTGTCGCTTTATGGTGAAAAGGCAACATAATTGATGAGTGTTTCATAGAGGCTGGCCAGAGAAACCAGAGTTGCAGGCCATAAAAAGGTTCGGTCGCAAAAACATGACGACGCGACCTCAGCGCCGCGTTCATAACAGACGGCGTCCGCGGCATCGTGGCCGCCGCGGAATTTTCAGAGCAAGCAAGAGGGGTATACGATTCGCATTTTGCGAAATTCATCGCAACAGCGCGGAGGCCGTAGGCCTCCCGGAGGGGGGGGCCCACGGAATGCGCGGATGCCCGTCTAGTATGAACGCGCGCTCATGGCGCTTTTTGCACAAGACAGAACAGATGGAATCTTCAAACAATCACAGGCTTAAATAATGCTCCAAAAAGCCTCAGCCGCATCAACAACAGCGCGTGACAGAATTCTTTACGGTCACTATCACAAACATCAGTTAAAATCTTGGCCAGCAAACACTAAAAAAGCCAGCACATTGTGCTTAATTCCCAGTGGACGAAAAACCCTAGACAAGCCCATATCCATCCCTGAGACGAGAGCCATTTGCGCTTACATGCGTAACTCGCCACTCGGACTTCATTATGTGCTTAGTACGTATAGAGCACGTCTTTCCAGCTCTACAGTAACGGAAAGTAGTGAGCGACCGGTTGTTTCTCCCAACGCGCATAAGTCGGCTGCCGCTGCTGTCATCATCGCGGAATTGCTCTGGAGAACAGATCCCAGTCTCTTACCTGCAAGAGGACCGTCCCCACATGGACTGCTGCCTACATGAATATAAGAAGACGATGAACAGATTAAGTTCCGACGCCAAATACGCCAAGCCGACAGAGCTCGCCCACTATCCACAACGTATATGAGATTTGTACCAATGTAATACGGATACATCTTTTTTATGCAGTCATATATCGATATTACGACCTATAATTACCTGCAGTCAGAGTAAGATGGCATCACTAGACCGTGACACCTTGATCTTCCTGGAATCTAGATTTGGACCCTCCCTCTTTCATTACCGCACTTGTGTGAGAGAGTTTTATTTGTTCGGTCAGTTCTTTAATTCAGTACATCCTCCAGGTGGGACCAAGCACCAGGGCACGCCATCGTTGTGATAGTCACAACAGGGGGGGTCGTATTTGACCTCGAGGGAGGGGGGGGGTCGTAAGCGCAGGGCCTTTCTGAAGTGAGGGTGCAGCGATACCCAGATGTCGTTCAGCTTCAATGATGAAAGACTTATCCATGTGAAGAACCCCTGAAGAGACACACACAAGACAGAAGCAACCTGCCAGCGCAGAAGTGGGGAACCGGCGATGACACGATGGCCCCACAGTATACTTTCGGATCTTTCTGATCGCAGAAGCAGACCTACTTGCACGGAGGAAGCCCCATCGAGAAGCTGCACCTTCCGAACCTCTGCGTACAGCGGTGACCCCGGTCAGAGCCCAATGAACTATTACCTGATACTTTAGGCAAAAACATGTGTTTCAGTAGCATACCAAAGTCTTCAAACGAACTAGGAAGTGGTATGGCGTCGGAGGGTGGGTTTACAGTGTCGTCCGGAAGGGGTTGCGTTCAGATCACAACGGGGGATTTTTTCGAATAGCAGGCTTAGAAATAAAATGAAAGTCTTGGTGGAAAGTAGAATGTGCGATAACCTCATACTCCCCTACTTTTGTGCAAGATAAATAGTTCACCGCTCTCTCACCCGTAGCTTCGATAAGCTTGTTCTCGAACTCACGAATGTTCTTCTTTTCTGTCTTTTAACCTGCCGCTGTCTTTCATCCATTTACGCTATAGGCAAGCAATGGGATGGAAGGTTGCTACTTTGTTGCAGCCATTGCATGTTATGAATACTACGTGACATGCGCAGCGATCCCTAGGTGATAGCGGCTAGCGCAGCGATCCCTAGATGATAGCGGCTATCTCTTTCCCATTGTCAGGTCTGGTCAGCAAGACTGCGTTCATACTGTTCGTCGGCTGTGAACCTTTCCGGCTGAAGGGAAAGTATAGGTGCCCATCTAGCGCCCTTACCCTTTTGAGCGTTTCGCTGAGATTGCTAAATGAATACATATCGTTTCTTTTCGCTCGAGACGCTACGTTTTCGCTGAACGCTTGAGGCACTGAAAATGTTAGGTGATCCATAATTTCCTTCTCGCCCAGAACGCTCAATCATCGACGAAAATTATGAGAGCTGCCTTAAAATATTTTTCTAATGTTCAGAGTTCCGTTCACAGTCGCCTCCTAC